CATTTCACCCAAGGCGATCCTTGGATTTTGTAGAAATATCCTAAATTGAATGAGCCAGGGATAGGGGGTATCTAGGAGAAAAACGTTCCAGCTGTTCTGGAAAGGGGGTTCGTGATGCCAAAAAAAAAAAAAAAAAAAAGAGAGAGAGAGAGAGCGCGAGAGCCATGGTAGAACTGGGGGAAACAGAATGTTTCTATTATAAACAACGAGGTGGTCAGCATCCTTGGTCGCTGGGGCAAGCTTCTTCCCTGGGTAGATAGGAGCGGTTTCTGGTTTCTTCTAGGTGCGGTTTCTCTTTCTGCCCAGTAGCCTGGAGGAAACCTTTGTTCCCAAAAAGGAGAACTGGGATGAGTCGCACTTGAGTTTTGAGGCTGCCAGAGAAGTTTGCATTGCTTATTTGGAATGTATAGTTGTGAACCTAGTTGGGATATCACAGCAATATTTCAGATGTAAAAATGAGATGTTTTTGTGTGTGTCTATGCAAAGATTGTATTGACAAATACCTATACATGTTCAAAAGCTACTACTGGGAATAAACTGATGGAACAATCTTTCTACCAGGGTTTTCATAAAATAAGTTTTAAATAATAATTTCATTTACATTTCAAAGACCAACATTAAATCTCCCCTTTTTCATATTTACATTTTTATTTTACTACATTTGCATTAGTTTCTTGAAGTGTTTTTTTTTTTTCTTTGAACAAATATGCAATGCAGGTCTGGGGAGGGGATGTAATCTCAGAGAAAGTAGATGTTGCTGGTCTGTGTGGATGCATGTATATGTAAATTTTGCCTATCAAAGTCACTAGTCTCTGTGGGGCACAGGCTCCCGAACTCTGCCAGAACAAGGCAACCACATGAAGCAGTGGGCGCCGGCATGATGCTCTTCATAGCCAGAACCTTCCCTAACATCCCAGAGCTGCCTTTACTCCCAAGGCCAGAGGCAATTTATGGACAAAACTAAGGGAAGTAAACTTAGAGAGTACATGTAAAGTCTCCAACACCTCCCCATTAAGAAAGAAGGGCCAGCTCAGTGACTGGATTTAGAAAAAAATTTTAAGCTGATTGTTTTAGTGTAGACAGCATAGACATCAAATATCCTTGGAAATGTTTGCATTCTTAAAGATGAACAGGAGAAGATCACAGCTTACAAAAAAAATTATCTAAATACATTGTATATATATAAATCTGAGAAGTCCAGGATTTTTGGTAAAGCTTTCAAATACATAGAGGTAGCATTTATTTTTCTTCCGTGGCGGGGGAAAAACCATGTCCTCAATCAGTCAGATAATTCTGAGCACCGAAAGCATTGAGAACAATCTCCAGCTGCAAATTGCTTACTGGCTATCTTAATTTTAGTATCTAATATTTTTAAAAATAATTTTTTGTAATAACAGATTTCTCATCATTTGAAAACTCTACTCAAGAGGAGAAATCCAGTCTGCTATTACATGAAATGCAACGTAATCTTTGCCAAAGGCAATAGCCTACCGACCTGAAATTTACTTCAACTTCATAGCCATGAGGGAGAGGGCAATGTTATTACCCAGGTAGAAATGGGAGCTGTTTTCTCCCAAATAAAATGCAGACCCTTGGCAACTGCCCCATAACCACTTCAGGGGCCTGACTGAAGCAAGCAGGCACCAAAGTTTTAGGTCAAAGGCATCCTGAGGTTGAGGGAGGGGGAAAAAGAGAGAAGAAAGAAAGCAAATGGGGAAAGGGAGAGGGGTTGGTCAAGGGACCGGGCTGCAATTGAACTGTGTTTTTTAACCCCAGTCGATCCATAAAATGGAATATTCTGTAAAGGAAGCTTGGTTTTTCAGTCTAGGGAGTATGGATCTTTGGGGGTGGTTTGGGTTGCCAGGAACTCTGAGACAAAGTGAGAGGGCAGTGGTGTTTAACTTGAGCTTCTGTTATATGCACATCTTCCAGTCTGAAGTGGCAGAGGCAGGCCAGTCTGCCCTGCAGGCCCAAGGCTTATACTCCATTATCTGGGCTCAAGAAGCAGCATGGTTTTGGGCCAGAGAGGAGCTACCATTCTGGTTTATACTTTGTTGTTTAAAGTAAGAAATAGCACAAAACCATCATCCCATTTGGTTTATTTCAAGAGGGAAAGACTGGAGAAAAACATCTGCTTGTCCCCAAAGTTCGAGTTGAGTCTTCGGTGAAGACTCAAATGCCAATGCCATGGTCTGTGAGATGCAGCAGCCTCTAGCTCCTCTACTAGGCAGCTGGGGCAGCCTCCTTGTAGCAGATGCACTACCAAACTGGCTTTTGTAACTTGGGTTGGTATGTGCATGCCTTTGGTTCCCATTCAGCCTAGAAGCCCATTTGGCTACCCTACAAGGCCCTGACCAGACCTGGACCTGCCTGAAATGGGGCACCCACCAGGTTTGCTTGTCTTACCAAAGAGAGTTCTGGAATATTCTGGAACATCCATGGGAAAAGGTTTGTGAGATCTGTGAGCACCTTTAAAATATTAGGATAAGTTGTAAAAATGCACAGAAGTACATTTTTCACAGGATAAGAGCCTGAACGGGGCTTAGATTTTCTAGAGTGGACTTAATTTTCAGAAAGGTTTACAAAGGCAGGTTTAGATGATTGCCTTTCATTTAATTTTTCTTTTCTTAAAAATTGAATTTTCTCAAGCATTCTCTCCAATGTCTACTGGCCCTTTCCTAGAGCTTGGGAAGTTGCCTTCTGCATTTGGGCCACAGAGGCGGCAGGTCTCCTAAGGAACCCCCACCATTCTTGGGGGTACTTTCCACTGGGCAGAGCTTTCCTGAGAGAAATGGATTTTACTGAAGGGCAAAGCCCCTTCTCAGGCAGTCCTCAGCTTTGTAGCATTTCCCACAAAGTAGAAGAGTCCCAGTCAGTTCCACCCTCCTGGCGACCTGAGTAAGGACCAGGTCGATTCGGAGGCTAAGGACAGTGGAAAGGTTCTAGAATTCTGCGGTCTGAAGCTTTCCTTACGGAGCTTTATTGGCCTCCTGGGCTTTGCAGCTTGGAATTTGCCCGGGCCTTGCGTGGGAGAGCGAGGACAGTTTATGATCTCTGCACAGACCCCTGACTTCGTTCGGTTGCCTGCTACTTTCGCCTCAAGACCCTGTTAGATTGGAGAGAACGACTCGGTGCTATGCCCTCTCACCCCTTCTATTTTCTTCCCCCCTGTTCTTTCTTTCTTCCTCTTTCTCTTTCTACCTCCCTCTTCTCCACATCAGATGCCCAGTCCTCAGAGCCAGTCACCAAGGGGGCGCAAAGGTGAAAGTGACTGCATGCACCGCAGCCGCGGCGCAGCTTCGGGGCACTACGCACCGCGCAAGCAGCCTCAGCGGCAGAGGCCGCAACTGCTTGCAAATCAGAAGCCAAAGCTGGGACACTGCCGCTTGCTTTCTTGCGCTCTCAGGGTCTTCTCAGGCCTGGCTTTTTCCTCGAATGGATTCATAATGCGAGGGACAAGGCCAAGTGCTTGCAAATCACCCCGGGATGCCAAGGTTTATCCCCCGCTGCTTCCCTTGATCACAGAGGCCTGAAGCGGTAACCTTCCTAGGATCCCGGTGTTCAGCAGTACCGGGCTAGACCGCTGCAGGGACGGGAGCTAGCTGGGGCGATAGGACTCGGGTACCCCCGTCAGCTGTAGCCAGGGGGAAGGTAAGGACCTCTTAGGTTCCTCTGGATCCAGGAGGAAAAGGTCGCATTTTCTGAGGCATGTATGAGGCCCATATTTGGGGCCGGTGCTTTGGGTCTGCTGTTTCCATTTTACTGAGACCGGATCTCTACAGCCAGGGTAGGTGTCTGCTGAGCAAAGAGCCTGGACTCAGAAAGCTCCTATAACTGTTACAACAGCCCAACCCAGCTTTGCAGGGAACAGATTTCTTCACCATGGGCCTTGTTAAAATGTACACACCCTGGGAGTGAGGGCTGCCCCAGCCACGAGTTTGGAAAGGGGGGGGGGAGAAGGGAGGGGATGAAAAGGCAGAAGTGTGGTGACACTGGTTCTTGTCATAGTCTCTGGGAGCTTATGAATACCAAAGCTAAAGGGAGAGCTCCTGAATAGTTCCCCATAGGTGTCCAACGGCTATTTCTTCCTCCAAGTTTTCCCCTTCAAATCTTCAGCTACAGGCAAGCCAAAGACCCTGAATTCGGTGTTTCTTTTATCCCCTCAATACTGCACATGAGCTTGGATGCTCTGGGGCTTATGGAGCTGTAGATGCCTGGACTTGGTGCTGGTGTCTGAATAAGGGTTGGGGAACTTTTTAGCCAAGGTTGCCAGTGCTTCCATTGTTTCCCCTTCTCATGCCAAGGCCCACCAACAGGAGCAGCAGAGACAAACCAGGTGAACATTCCAACCATAGGATCCACCTATTAATGAAGGGAGAAGAGCTTAGAGGCCAGAGGTGCCAATACTCGCATTTTGGAAGAATTTCTGTGAGGCATGCAAAAAGAAGTGGCAGTTACCAGCTTTCAGTCCGACCTGGATATCCGACCCCCCACCCCAGGTTTTCCTGGCCTTAGGGCCAGGTCTATCACTTTTGGGAGATGACTCCAGGTCCTGAGCTGAACGGGAAGAACTTGAGGGTCCGCCTAGTGATTAGAGCGCGGCTAGTGGCTGGTTCAAACAAGGATGGGGAGCACCCAAGGAACGCTGGGGTGCACACCATAAACACCCCACTCGTTAACTGCGGGGGACCCGAGGGCCCTTCCAACAGACCCCTAGTGCGGGCTCGCATCCGGCTATGGGCGGAGCAAGCTTAGGGGCCAATCCCCCCACCAGCCACATTGAGGCAGCCCCCTCAGCTCCTGGCCTTTGAGCTGGGGTATCGGGTGTGCGTCTCGCGGCCCATCAATAGAGATTACATATTTATATCAATCGCGGGCTCGGAGGGCGCCCTCAGAGAGCGGCCCCGCGCCTACGAAACCAAACTGGGAGTGGTCGCGCGGAAACTCTAGCTCAGGATTGGCTGCGGGCGACCGCCGCGGTGCGGGGGGATTGCTAATCGTATTCAGCATGTTTTGCACAAGAAATGTCAGCCAGAAAGGGCTATCTGCTTCCTTCGCCAAATTATCCCACAACAATGTCATGCTCGGAGAGCCCCGCCGCGAACTCTTTTTTGGTCGACTCGCTCATCAGCTCCGGCAGAGGCGAGGCTGGCGGTGGTGGCGGTGGCGCGGGGGGCGGCGGCGGCAGCAGCGGCTACTACGCCCACGGCGGGGTCTACCTGCCGCCGGCCGCCGACCTGCCCTACGGGCTGCAGAGCTGCGGGCTCTTCCCGGCTCTGGGCAGCAAGCGCAATGAGGCGGTGTCGCCGGGTGGCGGCGGCGGCAGCGGGGGCCTGGGTCCTGGGGCTCACGGCTACGCTCCCGCGCCTCTAGACTTGTGGCTGGACGCGCCCCGGTCGTGCCGAATGGAGCCACCGGAGGGGCCTCCGCCGCCGCAACCCCAGCAGCCCCAACACCCCCCGCCGCAACCATCCCAGCCCCAGCCGCAGGCCACCTCGTGCTCTTTCGCGCAGAACATCAAAGAGGAGAGCTCCTACTGCCTCTACGACTCGGCAGACAAATGCCCCAAAGGCTCTGCCGCCGCCGCTGCCGAGCTGGCCCCCTTCCCGCGGGGTCCGCAGCCCGACGGCTGCCCCCTGGGCACCTCCAGCGGGGTGCCAGTGCCGGGCTACTTCCGCCTCTCCCAGGCCTATGGCGCTGCTAAGGGCTACGGGAGCGGTGGCAGCGCACAGCAGCTCGGCGCGGGTCCGTTTCCCGCGCAGCCCCCGGGGCGCGGATTCGACCCGCCACCCGCGCTCGCCTCCGGCTCGGTGGAAGCAGCCCGGAAGGAGCGAGTCCTCGATTCGCCGCCTCCCCCCACGCTGGCTTGCGGTGGCGGGAGCGGGGGCTCGCAGGGCGAGGAGGAGGCGCACGCGTCGTCCTCGGCCGCCGAGGAGCTCTCCCCGGCCCCTTCCGAGAGCAGCAAAGCCTCGCCTGAGAAGGACTCCCTGGGTAAGCAGGGCACGCTGAAGGGCCGCAGTCAGGCGGGCAGACAGCACAGACCCAGAAAAGGGAAGAAGCAGAGCCAGGAGTCCGTGTAGCAGCCGGCCGGCTTTGGCCGGAGCTGCAGGCAGGCTGACCTTGTGAACTTGCTTTTTAATATTTGGGCGTGGGGGCGCAGTAAAAATTCATATCCAGCTTAGCACCCACACCAAGACGTCCTCCATGCTGGCCTCGGCTCACCCCGACTGGGGTGAGGACGCAGGAGAGCTGCCCCCTCTTGTCGTGCCCTGCTCCGTGGCCCGGAGCACCCCAAAGCCGCGGTCTGGGCCCAGCCTGAGAGGCGAGGCGCGGCCCACGCGGGGGGGAGGAGGAGGGAGGGAAAGTAGCTCGCCCGCAGATAGCGCGGATGTTTGTAAGGCATCCAAAATAAGCAGCCGCCAGCACCAATAAATAAGCCCATTAACCGGCGAAGTTCGAGTTTACGATCCCCCATGCTTTTTTTTCAAAGTTGTTGGAGGGGCGGGAATTCTGGTTGCGGGGATAAGAGAAGGCAAATCCGACCGGTGTGCCGGGGCCTTGAGCTGAAAGTCATAGAGGAACCATTTAGCTTTCCCTGGAACCCGGAATCGCCCAGAATGTGCGCCCCTGGCTCCTGGAGAGATGTGAGGGAGGGCCCTTGACCCCAATCAGTTTCTCGAGCCTTTGCGGTGTTCCAACTACGCCCTCTTCACTCTCCTCATCCAGCTATGGGCAAACAGGGGGCTGGAGTAAGACACAACCATGCTCCACGCCCTCATTCCAAGTAAGCACCCTTCTCCCCCCAACCTGGGGGCTGCAGGAAATGCTTGCCTGCCTAGGGGTGAGAAGCAAAGAAAGGCGTTAAGTTCAAGATATACAGCTTGCCCTCCCGGGCCTTGCATTCTGCAAGTGCCTGGCAGCTTTGTGCTAAAACAGGTGTTTGGGGGAAAATGGAGGAAAATGTAAATTGGGAAGATGAATGCATATTAGAAGTTCACTGCATTTTTGCCTTTTGGAGGAACTGCTTTCCTTGGGCAAGAAAAGGTGGCATACCTATGTGTGACTTCAGGCATCCCTCTTATGGCAGAGACCTCCCTGGTTCAGTCCTGCACACAGCCTTAGTGGCCTTGATTTAAACGTCCCCTTTTTATTCTCTTAAATGCCAGGCAACTCCAAAGGTGAAAATGCAGCCAACTGGCTCACTGCAAAGAGCGGCAGGAAAAAGCGCTGCCCCTACACCAAGCACCAGACGCTGGAGCTGGAGAAGGAATTTCTGTTCAACATGTACCTTACCCGAGAGCGGCGCCTAGAGATCAGCCGCAGCGTCCACCTCACGGACAGACAAGTGAAAATCTGGTTTCAGAATCGTAGAATGAAATTGAAGAAAATGAACCGAGAAAACCGGATCCGGGAGCTCACAGCCAACTTTAATTTTTCCTGATGAAGCTTCAGGCAATGCCATTTTTTTTTTCTGATACCAGAGAGCCGTTATCTTCCCTCTGTCTTCGGCCTCTGCCCAGGAACTCACCTGTGCTGGAGCCCCATTCCTCCCTCCCACACTCACCATCTTGCAGACCATTACATCTGTGCAGGGCTGGTTTGTTCTTTTTGTGTGTGTGTGTGTGTGGTTTTTTTTTTTTTTGTGTGTGTGTGTGTGTCTGTTTGCTTGGTGCTGGTTTATTTGTTGTTTTCTAGGGGAAAAAGCCATATCATGCTGAAATTCTATAGAGATAGCTAGTGTCCTAAGCGTCAAGTGATCATTGGAATGGTTTGCTATCTCTAGATCCCACTGCTTGAAATGGCCCCTGTTCTCCTTAGTGGAGCTGGTTTCTTGCAGGGGCCCTGGGCAAACCTAGTCCGAAGGCCGAGGTTCCATTGTAGGCGCTGAGGTGTCTGGCCTGAGGTCAATGGTGCAAGGAGCCGCCACTGGTCTGGCCTGCCTGGAGTGCTGGGCTGTGTTTAATCAGGGGATACAGGCCCCTGGGTTTCTTTTTTCTTTCTTCTTTTCTTCCTTGGCAAAGAGAAGAGCTTACAGGCATGGACATGCAGGTTGGCAAAAGGGCTTGACTTTGGCTAATTGGAAAATTGAGAGTCAGAAAGATTAATTTTTCCTTCCTCTGTAAGATAGCCCAGCGTTAAAAGAAAACAAATAGAATGACCAGGAGAAGGAAGCTTCTCTTCCAGTTTGTGTAGGTTTTGCAGTGTTTGACTAAATTATCTCACTTACCTCTGGATTTCCATACTTCTGACTATAGATAAATTACCTAATGTAGTTCTGCTTGTACATGCGGATTTAGTGGAATTTTTGTCATTAAATAATTGTTACCATTGGTAACATTTGACAAGCACACCACAATTCTCCCTATCTTGTGGAGGTTTTTAAATTTTTTTTAAAAGCTTTTTTCTCATTTTTTCTTTCCAAAATTCACAGAAGCCTAGGAGGGCTGGGACAAGCGGAATCGACTAGAGAAGGGAGACATTGTTTGGCTTTCCTTTATACTGTGAAGTTACATGCATAAAAGGGTGAAACCTGTAGGTGCAGAAAAAAAACTTTAAATACAAATCTGTATAAATGTCTATTATTATGAAAAATTGCCAATCTTGTTTTATGCAAATGCATTCTATCATTATTATAAATGTTAGTTCTAGCTCTATTTACTTCTAATCTTAAATCAGAATAAATTAATATTGTAATGCTGCTGTGCGTGGAAAAAAGACGATGTTTATGTTCTATAGAAGAATAAAAGCTGTGGAATGAACTTTTTAGGGTTTTTTTTTTTTTTTTTTTTTTTTTTTTTTTTTACTTCTTATCTTCACCTTCCACTTTATCCTGGCCACCACTTTTACAACAGGAGGACTAGCCCGCGCCCCCTGCAATTACTTTAGGCATCTATTTAAATATTACCTAGACGGTCGTAATTTGTCTGGGCCCTATAGCCCTGGTGCCTTAAGGTTTGTCGGCTTTTGTTCAGTTTTATGACTTGCTAGTATATCTGGATTGTGGCTGTCTTGGACCAGTGGTTTCAGTTGAGAGGGGAGCTGCATAGACAGAGGAAGCCAAACAGGATTTCTTTCGGAGCCCTGCAGAGGCGGGTTATTTTGTGGGTCCCCTGGTCTTAGATGACCCCCAGCCAAGGAACCCCACAGCAGGCTGGGCCCACAGCGGGTCTTTAGCATCCGCGCCAGCAGTTAGGTAGACCAGGCCTGGCTGCATGCCCCCCACCCCCTCCTAACAGGGCCTCCCCCACCTGGTCGCCCTCCGCTGGGCCACGCGTTTCCTGCTCGCGGGAGGGGGGGGGCGGCGACGCTAGGGGGGAGGGGGCGCGGGAGCGCGCGCCCCGGCTGGCTGGCGGGCAGGGAGGGAGAGAGGGGGAGAGCGAGCAGCGCGGAGCGAGCGCAGGAGGCCGAGACCAGACCGGCAGCCGGGCTCGATGCAGTCCCCGGCGCTTTTGAGTCGCCCAGGGTCGCCTCCGCTTGGCGCCAGCTCGCTGAGCTGCAAGATTTGGGAAATCACCACGCACACTGCTCGTTCTCTCCTCTTTTCTCGCTTTCCCCCCTCTTCCCTTTTCCTCTCTCCTTACCTTGCACCCCTCCCTCTCCTAGGTTTACCTTTCGGGGCCGTGGCTTCTCCCTCCGCGGCGCCTTAGCGGCAGCCCAGGGCACACAGTGGTAGCGGCTGGCGCAGGTTGGCGAGGGGCCGGGACGGGCGCGATCGCAGGGTTCTTCCGTGGCGGCTACAGTGGCGGCGGCGGTGGCGGCGGCAGCGGGCGAGGCAGCCCTGCGCGGGCAGCATCAGAACTGGTCGGTGATTTAGGTAGTTTCCTGTTGTTGGGATCCACCTTTCTCTCGACAGCACGACACTGCCTTCATTACTTCAGTTGAAATCGTCTGCAGGTACCTGTGTGCGCGGGGGGCCAGAGCGGGCGGGGCATCTTGGCTCTGGTCGTGCCAGGCCTACGGTGGCATTCTCGGCTTCTTACGAGCAGAAACCTGGTCCCTACCTCCTTCTTAGCGCTTTGCCAGACTGCTGGCCACACTCCCCATCCCCACCAGTCCCAGAGCAGGTACAGTCAGGTTAGCTGTTCCTTAGAGGACGCCAAGGGCGTGGTAGGAATTCTGGGCCCCAGGCCATTCAAGGTCAGGGGCGCAGCTTCAACCCTGAGCCGGTTGGGGGCCTGCTCCTGGCTGCAAGGGACACTAGCCATCCTCCTCCAAGAATGGGATACTACCAGATCCAATTCAGGGTCAGAGACCTGGAAAGGTTCCTTTGCTAGTGGACATGCAGGCCAAACTAAGAGAGGTTGGGATCCTGGCCTTGTCACTTACCCTTTGCTGTAAGCTGCCTGCTGCTCCAGGAGTTGTCTCTGTGTCTTCTTCCTTCCTTCCTTCCTTCCTTCCTTCCTTCCTTCCTCTGTCTTCAACCCCTCCCCTCCTTCTTTCTCTCTTTCCCCTTTCTTCCCCTTTCATCTTGGGGTCTCTGTGTCCAGTTTTCTTTCTATGTCCACCTTCTCTCCTCACTAACTCCCTCTGGGAAGGACCCAGGGTTGACTTGGGGAGAGGCTGGAGGTGGGAAGGGGGTGGGTGTTTCATTTTTCTCTGTGCACTCAAGTAAAGGTGGGAATCTCCCGCCGAATGGCTAGCGTGGGACGGCTGTCCAGGTCTGTGGATCCGGGCCTGGCGTGCCTGCCGCTGCGCAGACAAGGCCTCGGTTACGATCACGACCGGATGGCGGCGGCCTTGCGTTCCGTTCCTTCTCCGCCTGGTGCTCAACAGCCGCCTAGGGAATCCGATTAGGGGGGCGTTGGCGGCACTTCTGGACGCCCACTCGGTGGGAAGGGACCTTCGCTGGGAACCTGAGGCTAGGGCCTGGGCAGAGACCCTCCAAGGCTCGGTGAAGCATGGCCACGCAGGGAATCCCTCCTGCGGGCTTCTTGGGCTCTCCCCTGGGCCTGCCAGTCCCAGCTCCGGCTTTGGCCAGCATAAGGGAGCCTCACTAAGTCAAAGATTCACCATTTGTTTACCAGTAGTTTATAAGTTTGGAATATGTTTGATATGCAACCTGATGCAGGGGGTACATCCAGTGCTGGTTTATTTCAAATAGTAGAGAAAAGGAATTTCAAATTCCAGAACCATTGAAAGGCAAATTTAAGTCTTTTTTCCAAATTGTTCCACCCTTGGAAACCAGGCTGACCATTCTCACTCTGGGAAGAATAAAACAATTCCCACCCCTCCTTAGCCTCCAACACGCACAAGTGGGTTTTTAGAATCCTGTCCAGGGAACAGTGCTTCCTTTCCTCTGTCCAACTGGGGATCTAGGAACTGTTTCATTGCTCACTCCGCTGGCCTGTTATCTGAAAGGCCAGCTACTCAGCATTCCCCTCAACACCTCTGTTTTTTTCCAATCCTGGATCTGAGTATAAGATTTGCTGTGGAGGCCAAGGTTTTAAAACTCTGAGGAAAGAAGGAGCCCTTTGTAACTACACCCGTTTGTTATTTCTTTATGCACATACAAACCCTTTCACTTCCAAAATAAAAGCAGACACCAGAACTTGAATATTCTCTCCCCAACCTCTTGATTAAAAAAGTATAATATTTAGTTTTGTGATTTCCCCCCTTCTAGGCACCAGTTCTGACTGCTTAACCCACAATGCCTGCAGATTATTTAAGAAACTTTCAATTTTGGGTGTTAGACTATTTAAAAGAAACAGCTCTGTTATTTAAAAAATACTACTAATAATTTGCGTCTTGTCTGGGTACAAAAAGTAGAAAAGGCAGCCAGGCATGTCCAGTCCATTTACAGACAATTCCAATTAGGAATGAAGGCTTCCTCAGAGTTTAATTTTTCTTAATGAAAATTTCAGAGGTTGGGGAAACTGCCTGATATTTGGGACAGCTTGGGATTTGGTGTGTGTGTGGAGTGGGGATGACGCCAAGGAATTTACAGGAAAAGGAAAATATTAGGGGGAAGGTGGCTGAGGCGGCCAGAACTGGCCACGTTGGAGTTCATTGTGTCGGCCACTTTTCTCTTCAGCTTCGGCTGAGGATGGGGCACTCTGTTGTTCTGAGCTGTTCTGCAGTCCCACTCTTAGGGAGAGCCTGGCATTAGTCCGTCCCTGCTCCGGATAGAGATGTCTCGGGATGGGTATGGGGTGGGTATGGGGCTGAGGGAGGGAGGCGGTTACTGGATCTGTTGGGAAGGGTGAAGGCAGAAAAAGAGATGGAAACACCGAGGCCGCCTGCCCTCACCGCCAGGGAAGTGGGCTAATGAGAAACACACTTTTGCAGGCAGTGTTCACACGTGAATTTAATTACCCTGTTTTTTAGGAGTTGCTCCTTTTTGTTCAGATTTGGGGTGGGTTTTTTTTTCTTTCATTTAACAGAGAGGTCACAGTCGTCTAATCTATCCTTGAAAGACTCCAAGGGAGAAGAAATACCCTCTTCAATTTGGCCAACCAAAGAATGGGATTAAAGTCCTCGCTCAGTGCTCCTCCCCGTTTTAATTTCTAGCCCTGGACTTGAGCTGCTGCGGCTTCACTTGTAGCTTTCCACTAAGCCACGGGCCCACTGGGTAACCCAGGGAGGGCCAGGGCTGCGACGGGGAAGGAAGGTGTCTAGAAGAGTCCAAATGGGTCCAGGGGCCGGCCACTCTGCTGGTGCGGGTCTCTCAGCAAGTGGAGCCCCAGGGTCTCTTAGGCGGGTCTGCCTTTTCCAGGCCCAACTCGCTTTCCATTGGTGATGCCTGGCATTTCTCCCACAGCTCAGGTTTGGGGAGCGTGAAGAGGCCTGCAGAGCTCAGAGTTAGGGCCTTTCAGGTCTCTACGCAGGGTTCGGTTGCGTACTGCGTGGGTCCAGGGATTTTGGTTCTGGCCTGGGAGATCTTGTGCACCCTGTCAGGGCCAAACGCAGACACAGCAGTCTTTCAAATGGTTCGCCTCCACGAGGGCTGCCGCAAACTCCCTGGCCGCTCCTCCATGGGGCCCTCGTTTGGAGGCGCAGCGGTGAATCTGGCAGTTGCCCAGGCACCCCGCACTCCAGTCCGGCAGATTTCAGGGACCCACAATGGGCGGTGCCCTCTCCGCAGCCTGTCCCTGTCCAGCGCGCTCAGGCGGGGCGGTGGTGGCTCAGTTGAGGACTGATACTGCGTTGAATTTGACTTTTTGCGTTGGGCCGGGCGTAAACTCGCATCTCCCGGGACCGCAGGGATTATTTACAGGAGGCCCGCCAACCAAACACAACAGTCTAATTTAACCTTTCCAAGTCCTCGTAAATTTTTACAACTGGGAGCCACGGCGAGGCAAACGAATCTGTTAGTTGTTCCCAACTTCCCACCAGCCTGTGTGGCTTCTGAAACAATAACTCCTTATGAAATATCATAAATATAGATTTAAATACAGTAGAGCGAGAATGCGATTTGGCTGCTTTTTTATGACTTCAATTATTGTCTAATTTTATGTGAGGGGCTCCGCTGGCCGCACTCGCACGCGGGACCCGCGCCTTGCTGATGGCGTGATTAATTGTGATATAAAATAGTCCGCTTAAGAAGTGTATGTCTGGTGGTGGCGGTGGGAGGGGAAGGAGTACAGAGGCAAGGCCAGATTTGATCTTTTAATCTTCGTTGGCCACAATTAAAACAAACCCGATCGTGGAGCGTCGCGATCCCTTTGCATAAAAACATATGGCTTTTGCTATAAAAATTATGACTGCAAAACACCGGGCCATTAATAGCGTGCGGAGTGATTTACGCGTTATTGTTCTGCTGGGCGGACACGTGACGCGCGCGGCCAATGGGGGAGCGGGCGCCGGCAACTTATTAGGTGACTGTACTTCCCCCCCTGGTGCCACCAAGTTGTTACATGAAATCTGCAGTTTCATAATTTCCTCGGGTCGGGCCGGCCGGCTGGGCGCGGGGCACAGCGATGGCCACCACCGGGGCCCTGGGCAACTACTACGTGGACTCGTTCTTGTTGGGCGCGGACGCCGCAGACGAGCTGGGCGCCGGCCGCTATGCGCCAGGGGCTCTGGGCCAGCCCCCCCGGCAGGCCGCGGCGCTGGCTGAGCACCCCGACTTCAGCCCGTGCAGCTTCCAGTCCAAGGCGGCGGTATTCGGCGCCTCGTGGAATCCGGTGCACGCGGCGGGCGCCAACGCAGTGTATCACCATCATCACCCCTACGTGCACCCCCAGGCGCCTGTGGCGGCGGCGGCGCCGGACGGCAGGTACATGCGCTCCTGGCTGGAGCCCACGCCCGGCGCGCTCTCCTTCGCGGGCTTGCCCTCCAGCCGGCCTTATGGCATTAAACCTGAACCGCTGTCGGCCAGAAGGGGTGACTGTCCCACGCTTGACACTCACACTTTGTCCCTGACTGACTATGCTTGTGGTTCTCCTCCAGTTGATAGAGAAAAACAGCCCAGCGAAGGCGCCTTCTCCGAAAACAATGCTGAGAATGAGAGCGGCGGAGACAAGCCCCCCATCGATCCCAGTAAGTGTCTCCTCCCTCCAGACCGGCCACCGCCTCCACGCCGGCCACCGGGATCTGCCGGCCCACCACCATCCTCTCGAGCCTGCCTTCGCCCGCGCTGGGAGTCTCCTGAGCAGGGTCCAGGAGTCAGAAGTTGCTGTTTGGGACACCACGCATAGGGCCCCAAGTCCAGAGAGCAGTGACAAGCCGGCCCGCTGGGCTCCAGGGGGAGGGGAAGCTGCTGTTGCCGAGAGAGGGGAGGGGCGGGGCGGGCTCTGCGGGCCGAGCCAAGACCAGCCGCCCCTCTCCTTGGCTGCCCCGGACCAGGACAGAGAGATACTTTGGGCCGTTCTTCGAAAGCAGCGTGGCTGAGAGTCTTTTATGCGGCTAGATTGTCCACGAGCGGAGGCAGCAGCGACAGCCGGGCAGCTTGACCCGGGAAGCTGGGGAAGCCAGCAGACGCCCTCCGCTTCTTCCCTTCAGCCAGTGGCAGCGTAAATCCTGGCCAAGATGAGGCTGCAGGCAGCCGGACCATGAGAGTCCCCATGCCAGATTATTTAAATAAACTGAAGAAATGATCAACAACGCTTTTCGAGCTCCTGGGGCACCTTACGGGGCCTGCTAAGCTATCAGCCTCCATGGGAGGTCAAAGGAGGAGTGGGGGAGAATAGAAGGAAAGGTGGGGAAGGGAAGATACAGCCAGTGAGAGGGAGAAAAGAAATACCAAGCTTGCTACAGGAACACAGGGCAGCGTGGTTTCCCCTTGAGTGGCAAGAAGATCTGCTTCCCACTTTTACTCTGTCTGTCCACAACATGCGGAGAGTGGGAGGAAGGAGAAGAGGGGAGAGGAGGAGAAAGGGGGGTTTTTACTGTGTGCGATTGTAAGTGACCATCCCTGCGTCTGTCTGCCAGGGTTTCTATTGTGTCCAGAATGCCTTCCCTGACCAATTCAGCAGCATCCTGCACTTTGGCCGAAGATCCCAGAAAGAAGGTTCCCTAGCCCCCAGAGGGGCAGCTGCAGCCTCTAAACTTCTGTCTCTCTTCCCCCCACAGGCAACCCGGCTGCCAACTGGCTCCACGCTCGCTCTACACGGAAGAAGCGCTGCCCCTATACCAAACACCAAACGCTGGAACTAGAGAAAGAGTTTCTGTTCAACATGTACCTCACCCGGGACCGCAGGTACGAGGTAGCCCGGCTGCTCAACCTCACCGAGAGGCAGGTCAAGATCTGGTTCCAGAACCGCAGGATGAAAATGAAGAAAATCAACAAGGACCGAGCAAAAGACGAGTGATGGGTTAGGTGTTCGTTTAGAAAAGGGAGAACGAGTTAGAGAAAGAAAGGACTGTCCATTTCCTTCTCCCATCCCCACCCCACCCCAGCCTCCACCACCCAGCACAAAGCGGCTGTCTGTAACCTCCAGGCCTCATCCCCCCCCCACCCCCCTGGCAAGCCCTGCTCAGGCTGGCTCTTTGGCCTGCCGCTTTGATGGAGGAGGTATTGTAAGCTTTCCATTTTCTTAAAATGAATAAAGGGGGCATTAGCGCTGATGGTTGTATGTGCTAGCTTGTATATATTTAAAAAAATCTACCTGTTCCTGACTTAAAACAAACAAAAAAACTACCTTTTTATAATGCACAACTGTTGATGGTGGGCTATATAGTTTTTAGTCTGTGTAGTTAATTTAATTTGCTCTTTGTGCAACAGAGCAATCTGCCCAGATACTTGAACACTGTGTTTTATTGTGGTAATTATGTTTTGTGACTCAAACTTCTGTGCTGGGTGACGCACCCGTTGTGATTGTGAAAGCTAGGATTCAATTTGAACTCAGGTTGTTTATGAGGGAGAAAAACAGTTGCATAGGGTATAGCTCTGTAGTGGAATATGTCTTCTGTATAACTAGGCTGTTAACCTTTGGTTGTAAACTAGCTGTAAGGATTTCCCAGTGAAATAAAAAAAAAATGGAAAAGAGAGTTCTCCGAGATGCATAGGTTCATGGTTTTCTCCACGTTTGAAATGTGGGCGTTTTAGTCTTTCCATGCTTTATAGGTCTATCTTGCTCATTGTATATATAATTCACACGTTAAAGAAAAGTAATCAAATGAGTTTTAATATTGGTTTTGCACCAGAAAAACAGTGGGGAATTCGGAGCTATACATACGTGCAGAAGGTTACTACCTATGGTTTACGTTTAATTTTAATCGGGGGAAATGAATGCTTATTGTAACGGAGTTAATTTTATTGATAATAAATTATACACTATGAAACTGCCATCGGGCTACTGTAGATTTGTATCCTTGATAAATCTGGGGTTTCCATCGGACTGAACATACACTGTATATTTTGCAATAGTTACCTCAAGGCCTACTGACCAAATTGTGTTGAGATATTTAACTTTTTGCCAAATAAAATATATTGATTCTTTTCTATCTTTTGCGGGTCAGCTTTTTGCACCTTCTTCTTTGGTGTGGGGGGACCCGGGTAGTTTCTGGGTGGGGACCCCCCTGAAGTGGAGGAGCACAGATCTCTTATTTTGCCATTGGCGGGCATTTCGGAGCCAGAACCTGTGGCAACCACCCCTCGGCTGGCCTCAGCAAAGCCAAGCAGGCTGGCTGCTGCCTGGACAAGGGGAGGCAGTGAGACCTGGCTTCCTACGTTGTGTCCTTGTGTCCGTTTGTGGGCAGGCTGCCTCCGTTGGGCTGGCAGGGACCTCTGGGGAGTTGGGGTGGATTGAGGGAAGGCAAGCCAGTAGCGATGAGAGGTCATTCTTTCATTTCATGCCCCCCAATATCCCAAGCCTGGGTTTCTGGAGACTCCAGGGACATTCCCTGACCAAGGGTGGAAGGTAGAGGGAGGGAGACTGACCCAGAGAGCTGGGGATGAGAAACGGGAGCCGGAATACCACAAGTAGCAGTCGCTTGGGGACTCTCCGGGATTGAAAGCTGCTCCCCACACCCCCTGTGTCCTGTCAGGTAGGCCCTGGGGAGTCTGAGTCTTGCACAGCACGACCCTACCCGCTACCCTCGTCACCACGGGTCCTAGCAGAGACAGGGCCAGGCAACCAAGGAGCCCCAAGCGCCATAAAAGAATATGAGGGCTGTTACCGTTTATGGGGTGTAAAGGACTGCGGGGGGAACACCACAACTTCGGAGGCCCAAGCGCCTTCTAGATGGGCCTGGAGTTGAGCCTCATCTCCTCCACCTTTTCTTTACTCTCCCTCCCCCGCCTCTCAATCCACCCCCGGGTCTTCTGCAAAGCTATCTGTGTTCCGACAAGAAGCCTAAAAAACGGGAACCAGGGCGCCAGGAGATGGGGCAACCCTCTAGACCCCCCACCCCCACCGTATCGCCAAGTTGGGACGCCCTCTGTTGTTGCAGACAGAGGGAACTTCAAAGAATGGGCAGTAAGAGTGTGTCATAAAGGCCGGGTCTGCGAACTGTCTGGAATTCGGTCCTTAATGAGTTTACAACTGTCCAGCCCCAATTAAGATTTTCCACCAAAGCCCTTTCATTTGTTTGCCCTGTCTGCTGCCGATAAAGCGGCTGCGGAAACAGCTTTTTTATGGGCGCTGCCCTCTGGCAGCATAGATTCCGGGCTTCGCGCAGACCCCCACCTCCCCGCCGGACTGACTGCGCCCTGGCGGGGCTTTGGAAGAGGGGCGCCTTTGGGAGGCTGCTAACGAAGTTCAGCCTGGACTGCGGTGATGCAGTGCTGCGAGTTGGCCAGCAGATGGCAGTATGGCTCCACGGAAGAGGCGTCCACGCCGCCATCTCCCGCCGCCGGGACCCAGCGAAGTTCCTAAGATGTCGACCTGACGCGAGCGTTTCTGGAACGAACGGGAGCCCCAGGTTTGAGAGTTCTGCGGTCGTTTGCTTTCGGTGCTGCTCACGTTGGGTCGGAAACCTCGCCGGGAAACTAGCAAGCGTCGGGGGCTCTCCCGACCTGCCCTGCTGCCAGCTGCCTCTCCATCCCCAGGGCACAGCGCCGACCTGGGGGCTGCCGGGCGGCTGCAGGGCTGCGGCTCCAGGCGCTGGGAAGGCTTCTGGGTCACTTCCCCAGCCCGGGACTGGCCTTGAGGCGGCCAAACTCGTGGCGAACCTGACTGACCTGAAGACAGACACAAAGATTAAGGCCAATAGCACCCGGACCTGGTGCCCAAAAAGGCTTTCAGAGGTCACACATGGTGGCCACGGGGTCCTGCGGCGGCCCTGGAGGCCCCCGGTGGAGAGCCAGGCGAGCCAGTACCCGCGGGCAAGCGGGGACCCCGGCATTCTGCCGTCTTGAATACGTGACAACACAATTAGACGCCTGAAAACTGGATGTAAAGGCTTCTCGGAAACTGTCTCGTGTGGGTCTGGCGGCTGAGTTGCCTGGATAGGTAATTCCAGGGGACCGAGCTGGAACTGACTTGGTTATCCTCAAGTAAATATTAAATTTAAAATAATTATAATAATATCTTAGCTCCAGGATAGGTCACGTCGTGCAAACAGTCCTTTCTTTCGCTCGCTGCCGAATTTCCTGGGCAGTGGAAGTACTATAGCCACTGTGGCGATTGCTGCTCAGGAGTATGAAGGGGACCCCAAGCCTGGCCCAGCCTATCCCTAATCCTGGGTGGGGAACACGCCCCAGAAACTTCCATGCGCTTTCCCAAGCCCACTGCGAGGAAGATCACCCCCCAAGTAGAGTGGTTTTGGAGCGGGGAACGAAAAACGCAAACGCGGAGCCCTTTGAAACACCCCGGGAGCGCTGTGAACACGCCACGCGGTGCATTTATTTGAGTCGTAACAGTCTCCCCCAAGCCCACAAAATGTTTACAACCTGCGTCTTCACTCTGCACGCGCTGTAAAGCTGGGAGCTGGATTTTGGCTGACATCTCTCCCGGGTGTTTCTTTCCCCGCCTGCCCTCCATTCCCTTTCTCTCGGTTTGTGGTTTGTACACACACACACACACACACACACACACACACACACACACTGGCATTATAGACACACGCCTCCATTATATTTCCGTATATAGTGCACACTATTTCACGGCATCTGATTGTAAGAAGGGTTTTATAGCTTCCCGTAGGGCCGCCTCTGGCTGTGTATCTAACCAAACCGCAGATAGAAAGCGCGATCTGTGTAACTAGGAATAAATGGCGAAGAAGCAGAACGGTAGCAAGTCCTTCCTTCCACCGACCGCGGAGGCCCCAGGTAGGTGTAGGCCCACCAGGACCTCCGGGGTCTCAGGGATCAGCTGGAGGGACCTCTCTTGCCCTTGGCCGACCGGAGTTGGAAGACTACTCTCCCCCATGGCAGCCTGGGGGCCGCTTCTGTAGGAGCTGTACAGACAAGTCCCAGCGCCAGCCGGGCTCCTTTGCACTCGTCGGGGAAGACTCAGCTGGGGATTTTCCACCGAAGGCTGCTCACTGGACAGAGACCCAAGAGCCACCCGAGCACCGAGAGCGGGTGGAAACGTTAAGCAAATCGCCAAGCCCTAGCCTGTCCACAGTCTCCATTCGCCCTAGATGTGGGTTTATTTCTTAGTGGGACTTAAGTATTGATGATTGTTGGGTACAGAGAAGCAAGGGTTCGCTTGATAGGTAAGCACCCCGCTCCAGGAGAGCGGCAGAGGTGTCTTTCAGAGAGAGCTCGGCTGATTAGAAACCCGCCTCCACAAGCCGGCTTCAGGCCCAGCTCCCTTGAGTTTTTTGGTGAATATTATCACATATAACCCAGTGCACTTATGTGTGTGTGTTATTTTTCTTTTTAGTCAAGTAAGTAGAAAATCATTGATCCAAGAAGATGCAGTTAAAGAGGTCTTACTAAAAGCCTAGCATTGCCTAGCCTTTTCATTTTAAAATCCTGCCACAGAAGCAGAAGGGAAGATAAAAGCCCAGAATCCAGAGGGGAGGAGGGTGGTTTGGGCATCCGCTGGCCTCAACCGATGGGCCAACTTGGGCGCAGAAAGGTCGAGGCCTCCCGGGCGGTATCTGAGTCTCCTTGGCCCAGGCTGAGGGGCAGCGCATTTTGCCAGGACCGTTTGGACCTGTGCCGGGCAAACCTCTACAAGAATAAGCCCGTAGCGCGGGCTTCCGCTGATCTCGGCCAAAACTGTACTCCTTTTCATTTGGCTGTCTGGTCACTTGCTCAGGGCAGGGTCTACTTTAATCGCCATAGCTGTCCGCTGCTCCAGTCGCCGGAGTCTAGACAGACGGCGGCAGCAGCCACGGTCTTTCTCTTTGCATCTTGCTCTGTGTCACCCGAGGAACAATTTATTGGTCTAAAGCTGTCTAATTCCGCCTCTTTGATCTCCTAGTTTTTTCCTTGTTTGCTGCTTCTTTTTCTAACATCGGAAGGTTCTCATTTTCTGCCAGAAGCATGGTACTGGGAATATTTGGTTTTTCCCTTTCCCTTACCCCCTCCATTCTGTCAACAGAGACACACTGTCAGCCTGATGTCCCATAAAGGACATTCCAGAATATTGACCGCCTATGGCCTCTGTACCCCAGGACATATCACCAGGCACCCACCTGTCCCTGACAGCAACCCCCCACTTCCCCACCTTTGCCTGTGGGCAGTCTACTAGGCAGGAGATGGGGCTCCGTTGCATCCGGGTCTGAAAGCTGCCGATGCCTGATGCCTTTTGTGCTCTGGGGACCCCCTGAGAGCATGCCTTGAACGGGCAGCGTGGACCCTCTGAAAATGATGGGAAGCGCTTTGTACACAAGGAACCAAACTCTATAATTTGGAGGAGAATTTCCGGGGCAATTCCATTGTGAGGTTGGGTTTATGGTGTGCAATCGAGCTGAGCAGTAAAAGGCATACTGACCTGGTGGCTGGGCCGAGGGCTCTGCCCGGGCAGTTTATGAGGCGTTTAGGGGAAGGGTTCGCCCCATCACCTTCCACTGAGCAGAGAGCGGCAGGGGTTTTGACAGGCCGACCCTGCTCAGAGGTTGGGGGATTGGAAAGGTAAGCTTCATGAGTTGGGGGGCCTGCCTGGGAGGAAAGATGACCACAGTGAATGCCATACTCCATGAGCAGGAGAGGATTTATGCTCTTGGAAAGGTGAAGCTGCCAGAAATGGGTGCCTTTTTGGAAGGGGCTTCCCTAATCATTTTCTTTTTTCTTTTTTGTTTTTTTTGGGGGGGATCTCCAAAAGAAATGGAGATCTGTGGTAAGCTTCAGGATCCAGGGATCTGGGCCCTCCCACTTGCTCTTCACCAAACTGTTCAAAGGCATGTTTTGCTGCCCAGGCCCCTGACAAACTGGCAGAAGCCCAGGGTTACCGGGTGCAAACTACCAGAAACCTCACCAGCTGGGGGTAACCTGGAAAGGTGTAGGACTTGAGGTGCTTACAAACTGGGGGAAAGAGAGTTGGTTCCCTTTGTATGAGGGGAATCAAAGATTGCAGGGAGGACAAAAGAGTATTTTGTAGCCACTTCTCCACTCCCAGAGCCCAGTGAGGTGCCCAGGAGCCATCACACTGGACCTTCAGGGGCCAGCGGCATCAGGGAGCTGGAGGGGAAGCCACGTTAATAAATCTGTTGGCAAATGAGGCTCATTAATAGATAAATATTTCACTGCTTCCTTTAGGGTGGATAAACAGTGCGCTGCACATTAAGGAAAGGAAGCTGGGAGACTTTGACTTTATTCGAACCACATGGTTCCAGTTTGCGGTGGCGTTTCTCCCTGCAGCTGGAAGCAGCCCTATGCCCGCCCCCATCTGGATCCGAGTCTACGTGGGCAGAGGGCCCACTGGACCTGGGAGGGAGGACGCGGCACTTGGCCACAGGGCCACCCCGAGCCGGGGGCGGATGCGGGGGATATAGCGGTCCTCCTTCTGTTGGGTCAGTGGGCAGGGGAGGGTTAAGGAGGTCCCCCAGGCTTGGTCCAGGATTCAGTAATAGGCCGAACGGGGCTGCGCCCGCCCGGCCCCGCGTCGCGTCTGCAGGCCAGAGCCCAGGTGAGCCTCGGACTGTAAGCTCCCTCGGAGCCTTGGGGTCCTTGTCCCGCAGGACCCGCCAGTCCGCCCGGGTGCTGGCAGATTCGTTGGTCACATATTTGAGCCTCTTCCCCTTCCATTCTAGGCAGCTGCGGGCCCCGCGGAGCGAGACCACCTGTGAGGGCTGCTGAGATTGGCGGAGGCGGTCATGTGGGCGGTCACGTGCTGCGGCGAGCTCCGTCCAAAAGAAAATGGGGTTTGGTGTAAATCTGGGGGTGTAATGTTATCATATATCACGCTACCTCGTAAAACCGACACTGAAAGCTGCCGGACAACAAATCACAGGTCAAAATTATGAGTTCTTCGTATTATGTGAACGCGCTTTTTAGCAAATATACGGCGGGGGCTTCTCTGTTCCAAAATGCCGAGCCGACTTCTTGCTCCTTTGCGCCCAACTCGCAGAGAAGCGGCTACGGGGCGGGCGCCGGCGCCTTCGCTTCGACCGTACCGGGCTTGTACAATGTCAACAGCCCCCTTTATCAGAGCCCGTTTGCGTCCAGCTACGGCCTGGGCGCCGACGCCTACAGCAACCTGCCCTGCGCTTCCTACGACCAAAACATCCCGGGGCTCTGCAGTGACCTCGCCAAAGGCGCCTGCGACAAGGCGGACGAGGGCGCGCTGCACGGCCCGGCCGAGGCCAATTTCCGCATCTATCCCTGGATGCGGTCTTCAGGTAGGCGCAGCCGCTAGGCGGGCGGGGCGGCGGGCAGACGGGGGCCAGGGAGCGTGGGGCTGGGGAGCCCCGAGCGCGGAGTCGGCGACAGCGAGCCAGCGGCCCCGTGACTTCTGGCGGTGCTGCCTTTCTGGTTTTAATTAGAGCCGAGGCGCCATAGCGTGGAGAGCCATAGCATTGTATGTAAATGAGACTCATAAAACTTTTTATGGCCCAATTAATGGGTTCCATCCTCGTAAATTTATTTAACTCCGTTTGCCTTGGAATTTTAACATTAAGTTTGTTCGCTATTCTCTTCTCGCTCTTCCCCCCCTCCCCCCTTTCAGCCTGGCGTTTCTTTCTCAAAGGCAGGGAGAGCCAAACCCTTCTGGGCCCCTCAAACGCCCCTGTGCCAGGAACCTTTTAAAAGTGGGGTGGGGGCCATGACCGGGGACAGGGGGACCGAGTACCTCAGGAAGGTCCGGGGATGGGGAGTGGGCTTCTGGGAAATGAAGGCGCCCTGAAGTCGGGATCGCGGTAGGCTCCTCTATTTGCCTAACAAGGCGGGGAGAGCGGCCGGCTAGCCAAGCGCAGCGTTTCCCACTTGCCCACACTCTATATTTACAAGTTCCCTTTGTCAGGAGGACCAGGACATTGTGGGAGCCTAGCCGGCTGGAAAGGGCGGTTGCAAAGTTGGGATTCTGAGCCTTGCCTCCTCACAGAGCGGCCTGTGCATCTGGCACGGTTGTTGGGGTCTTCTTCTAACACCCCCATTGCTCCCCCAGCTTAGTTTGTGGACCACAGGGAGAATGGGGGGCGGATACAAGCCCGGCCAGGGTGGGGAGGAAGGTGCGGCCCGGAGAAGGAGGCCTGGCTAATGCACTGTCCTGTCTGTGCCCCTGTTGGCTTGTCTGTTCCTGTGTCCATGTGTCCCCCTGTCTGCTCCAAGGGCCCGACAGGAAACGGGGCCGCCAGACCTACACGCGCTACCAGACGCTGGAGCTGGAGAAGGAGTTCCACTTCAACCGCTACCTGACGCGGCGCCGCCGCATCGAGATCGCCCACGCGCTCTGCCTCACCGAGCGTCAGATTAAGATCTGGTTCCAGAACCGCCGAATGAAGTGGAAGAAGGAGCATAAGGATGAAGGTCCAGCAGCCCCCGCCGCCGAGGGCTCAGTGCCCGCAGCAGCAGCAACTGCCGCCGCTGCCGCGGCTACCACCGACAAGGCCGACGAGGAGGACGATGAGGAAGATGACGAGGACGAGGAAGAGGAAGAATAAGGGACCCAAACTGGGTCCTGGCTGCACTAGACAGTCGGGAAAGTGTCTGTAGAGACTCACTGATTTTTATTTGCAAAAGTGGAAAAAATAAAATGTAAAAAATAAAACCCAGTCCCCAACCCGTACCCCACCAACCCCATTACCCACTCCAGCTCTCAACTTTTCTGGACTGAGCAGCCGCCTAGACTGGGTCCCCTTGGGGATCCCTCCGTTTCCAAGGACCCTTAAAAGATACCCCCAAACCCTAGGCCGGCCTGCTCTGCCTGGCCCGGCATAAATACTACCTAGCACAGGCCTCAGCAAGAGGCACCCCCAAACTACCTATGGGCCCAGCCCCAGCGGGCCTCCACTCCCAGGAAGCCCAGACGTGTCCCAGCACTGGCAGATACCCAGCACCTCCCAGTACCCACAAGGACCTGACTCTCAGTACTACCTACTCCTCCCAAACTACCTATTTCGTGCTCACTGGCTCGCCTGCTACCTAGTGACCACCCCTCCCCAGTCAGGCCCCAGGAAAGACTTCCTGTTCGCCTTTGGAGTCTCTGAGAAGGCACTGGGGTCCAGGGACCAGGGCATTGGCTTCTATTTAAATTGAAAAATAATATATTTATTCCAAAGCATTCTAAGTGCTGCAACCTAGAATTCTTCCTTCTCTGGCCTGGCTACCCCAAGTTCAGGCCCATCACACCCCATTTCTGGAGGGGAGCATTCTGAAGCTAGCTGCAGCTCTCTGGGTTAGTTCCTTTTAGGACTGCAGAAATGCTCCCAGCCTCTCTTGCCCCCCTCGCCTGCCTCCTGTCCTACCACACAACCATGTTGAATATGTACACACCCTGAATTTTCCTACAATAGCAAATATTGTATATTTGAACAAAGATTTCTTTTTGTCATTTATATAGTCTTGGAATTCATTTGTAAGGCATTGTCTTGACTTGGGAAGGATGTATTCATGGGGTTACTTTGTGGCATGGTGTGTTGTCTTGAGCTAATTCTGTAGTGGGTAGGGAGGACCTTGGCCCTCCCCAATGCCCTTCATCTCCTGTGTTGTCCTCTGTCCCCCTGATTCCCCTCCACTCTAGCCTGGGTTTCCCAGATATGGAAGATAATGTTTCCTATCTTGCCCAGCTAACCATGTTTTATGTAACAGAAAAATAAAGATGCTTGGTGATAAAAGAAACATGGACTGCTTTATCTGGGAGTGGGAGGGCTGAAGAAGAGATGGTGAACATAGCTGGATGACAAGCCCTAACTATTCCTTGTGTTTGAAGGGGCTTGGGGGCAGTAAAAGTTGAGGGACAAATAGGGTCCAGGTGTTGAGTGTTCATTTACTGGTGTATATAACACGCCAAATTCCTTTTTTGTGTTAATTTTCTACATGTGAGTTTGTATAAATGCAAGTATTCTTGTATTTTTATGATTTCATAATTTTATCTATTGCTGTGCCCATAATTGAGTGAATGCTTTTTCCGTTTGTGTGTGATTGCATATGTGCATTTCTGTATGTGCAGAATTTTGTCTGATTTTCGCGTGTGTACGCCAACATCATCTAGATCTTTTGAAAAGAGATTCTCCAATGGATGCATTCTATGAACCTCCCAAAAAACCTCCATAAATTCCATGAACAAATCCCAAATCTGCCCTTTTCTCAAAGGCTGTGTAGTGGGCTTGGGAAGGGGTATTGCCCCCTGCGAGTGATCCCACATATTTTACGTGCCTTGAACCCGACCCCAGGCTAGAAGGTGGGATTCAGAGCTACACATGCAGCCCCACCCCCAACCCAGGACTCAGCTTTGCTATTTGGGGGGTACTAGAAGGGGAAGGGGCTGCAAACCCACACTGGGACTTCTTGGGGGGGGCATTTGAGTGGGGGGGGGAACAAGAGGGGCTGTGGGAAGTGCTAGGGACGCAATGGAGAGCATAGAACAACTTGAGCTTCTGCAGGGCACAGAGCATGGCTCCAGTCTCCAGCCTGGGCAGGGCCGCTTCTTAGTGCTCTTTAAATAAAACCCGGCCCAACTGGGTCTGAAAAACCTGCAGCCCCCAAGTCGGGGCGGCCTCGGTGGTAAGATGGCGCCGGTGTAAGAGCTGCCTCCTCTTAGTGATGGGGAAAGGGTCATAAATCCGTTGTTGTTTATGAAAATTTACAACTTTGCAATACAACTTTATGAGTTGTTCGGCCCTTCCATTGGCCGCTGTCGGTCATGTGGATGGGAACCGTGAACATGAACTTTTTTATAATTTCCCTTGCGAGAATAGAGCCGCATTCTTTTGCTTCGCTCGGTCCTGCTTGCTTCGGAGCTCTGCCTTTCCAGCCCGGCTCGGCTGCGCTTTGTCCGGCGATGGTGAGCGAGACGAGGGCCTGGCCCGGCCCGGCCCGGCCGCTCCTGCTAGAGGTGGGGCGCGCCCAGTTCCCGGCGCCGCGGCGGCCGCTTTGCAACTCGCAACCTGGCTAATTTCCTGCGTCCTCTGGCACCAGGAAGGAGGTCGATTCGTCTCTCCCGGCTGCTCAAGCGACAGCTGTCAGAGGGGCAGGAGCTTCTGGGAGCCGCCATCTGAAGGTAAGACATGTGGGGAGACAGAAGCAAAGGTGGTGAGATAGCAGGCGGCGCCCTGGTGGGAGAGGGCATCAGGGCGGCTATGAAGAGGGGCAGGGGCATACTCACCCTCACCCACACTCACCAGTTCACACTCAACCCCCCAAGACACATTACCATTATGCCCCCCCCAACTCCCCCCTCCCCTCCTTCTCCTCTCCTCCCTTCTTCCCTGTCCCTAGCTAACCAAGACAGTTAGTGCCACCTCCCTTCTCTGGCACAGCACCCTGATAAGGGGCAGGAGCACTGAAGTCTGCTCTCCCCCATTCCCAGCGACCTCCAGGAACCCAAAAGGTAGTGGCCCTGCACCCTGTGTTCTCCCACTAGCCTTTCGGTTTGGGCTTCTTTTTTCTTTCTTTCTTTCTTTCTTTTTTTTAATTCATGACCCAATTGATTCGATTGAATTCTTCAACAATAGGAACCAATTCCTGACCTGGGGAGGTGGGGAGAAGTGAGGTAAAGTGAATTAATGGAAAGGCGTTTTATTGGCCTAACACAGCACCTTCCAGTCGGTGGGAATTAATTTCTGGAGGAATAGTGGAATGAGGGGGAAAAGCCCAAAACTTACTAATTCAGCCAGTTCCCTGCTGATAGCCTGCTCCCCGCGGTTTTCCGATGAGAGAGGTTTCTGAAGCGAAGGGAGAGGGAATGCATGGGTGAAATTCTGTTTTGGAAGAGAGGTTGGGGTTAATTGATTGGGTGTTGCTTGGCGGAAAGTTTCGGTGCAGACAAACGTTGGGTGTTATTGCGAGTGGCGAGGGCCGCAATTAAGGTTGCCGGAAGGACGCAAAACAAGCCTGGGCGGTAGGGGGACACCCCCTCCACCTCCCCTGGTCAGCGGGCCGGCGACCGTGCGCCCCATCTCGTGTGAGCCAAAATGACTGTGGAAGCGTCCGGAAGGAGGCGAGGAGAGTGCCGCGAGCGTTGGGTTTAAGTAACACGGTGGCACAGACAGTGGCTTGGCCTGGGTGAACCTCGATTTTCCCGGGGAGCTTCCTGGGACCACAACCAGAAAGGATCCTAAGGTTCTGGGCTCCGGTTCATTTGATTTGCTTTTTGGTTTTTGGTGGTGGATGTTTTCCCATCTGGAAATTATATCTTGGTACATATTAGATAAAAAGAAAGGACGGTGGGTGATTGGGATGTTCACCAGCGCTGTGGGTGCGCTCCAGACGGTTAAAGCTGCGCATTTGCATGGCAGGGCCGCGGGCTGCCTGACTGCGGCTGCCGCGGGCAGATTATTTATTGCGACCGCGCCGGGCGCTCGCTGCTGCCACGCTGTGGCCATCGCCGGGACCAACGCCAGTCACAGCCCCGCGTCGTGCTGCCTGGCGCGATTGCTGCGCGGGCCCCTCAGAAATTCCCCAGCAGGCGGAGGAGAGGGGGTGAGGGAGGACACGAGGGGCGACCTCCCACGGCCTGACGGGTCAGGATCCACTCTCACTTTGGCCAGCTCTGACAGGAGCTGGATGCCCGACTACATTCGAGTCCTCCTCCCCCCCCAACCCCAGCACCATGGAGACTGGTTGTACAGGCCGCCTGGCACGTCATGGCTGCTTCTGTCCAAACTGCGCGTCCCAAGACGCCCAGGGGGGCGCATGCTGTTTCGGCAACGCGACTGCTTTGGGATTTTGAAATCGGAGAGACCACTTGTAGTCCTGAGGCCTGCAGGCCTGACTAGCCCTGAGGAGGATTGGTTTAAAGCAAGGAAGGCGGGCTTTGGCGCCAGGCAAGGGCCTGTGACAGGCAGAGGCCGCACCTGTGTACTATGGGCTCTGGCCTGGCCTAGAGATCCCAGCGGACGAGGTGGCCTTCAAGGTGCCCCACAGACACTAGCAGGCCACCTTCCAGGCTGGCAGAAGTCGAGGAGCTCAGTGGGCAGCCCAGGGAAAGAGCAGACTGTGGGGTCTTGCTCAACATCCTGACCCCTTGAAGAGTAACTGAAAGGTAAGTGAAATTTTTGTGTGGTTTTGACTGAGAGGAGAGGGAGCCTGGGTGACCATTCTTACCACCCCAAGAGTGGCTCCCTCCAGTGAGCGCAGTGGGGCTCTATTCTTGTCTGAGTGTCTCTCTCTCTCTCATTTATGTATGTATGTATATATATATATATAATACACACACACATAAATATACACATTACACACACATATATGTGAAATAAATGGAGCAGCTGCCAGCATGATATGTAGCAGCCTTGGCTAACACAGAGGATTTCAATTTAATATATTTTCCCTCCTAGTGCCTATAGAAGCTATAAATATAATGCTTTTTTGGCTCTTAGGTAAGAAATCAAAATTTCTCGTTGACTGGGACAATTATTAGATCGAGAACCCAGGTCAAGCCATAACAAATAATAATAAAGTAGTAAACAGTCACCGGCTCCAACACTGTGTGGAACCTGGAGGGGTGAAGCAGAAATTATAAATGTAAACATTTATCAGCATCTCCAAAGGGTGGTTTTCATCTTATGTAATCAAAACTTGCTTGAAATCACTGTCATCTGATGGTCTTGTAAAGAAACAACTCAAAACAAATTTTCTTCTAGCATAACTTTTAGAAAACATTTCTTTGAAAATTTTTTTAATCGAGTTCTCATTTTTATCTATCAATTCCCTTTCCTGAAGAAATGCAAGAGAAATATTAAATTCTACCTTCTCCTGCCAGGCCCTTCTTTATTTATACAAAGGAGAAACTTTCCAGCTTGGGTTGATTTGGGCACAGGCAGCGGCTTCTGGCCAAGCCCCTGTCTAGTGGGCTGCAAGCGCAGTCAAGGGGTGCCTCCTTGGCTCTGTAGAGGTCGGCTTTAGCTCTGCTCTTTCCCAAATTTTCCCCTTTGGGAAAATGAAGGCAGTGGTAAATGGAAATGCAAGGAGGAGTTTAGGGAGATGTGGCTGCCTGGCTTCTAAGGAGGCACTGCCACCCACGAAACCCTAAATCCCATCAGCTTGAATCAGCCAGTTTCCCAGATATTATATAAACGCCCTCCAGAAATTCAACCAAATTGTATAAGTAGTTTTTCTTCAACCTCCACAGGACTGAGAATTTTAAAGCTAATTCATGGGGTTTTACAAGCCCAACAAAGACAGCTATAAAAATGCTATTGGAAAGAAATCACACTACAAAATGAGATTGGTCCATGTGCTGTTAAAGTCAACTATCTTGAAGGAACACCCCTCAAGCAAGAGAGTAGCCCAGGACAGGCGGTCCATGTCCTGTCTGGGGCAGGGCAGGCCTGGGAGGACAGTAAAAGCAATTCAGATGATTTCTGGAAAGGGTGGAGGCAACTGTTACCGATTCTGGAGCGACTGCAGGCCAGGCGGCAGACTCCCAAGCAGTCCCAGGAAGGGCAGGAAAGAGGGCACACGGCAGGACGCTGCTGGCAACCGGCACCCCAGAAAACACCTACATCAATTATTCCCGGGCCTTGGACCCAGTCACCGAGCTAACCTCTGTGCTCGGCTGGACGAGGGGCCCTGGGTCAGTCAAGCCTCTGAAATGGGGACAGAGTCCACATCTGGATCTGTCTCAGCTCTGAGTTGGTCCCGCGGTGGAGGGGGAGTCCTAAGGTGATGGGCGCGGGGTGTAGGTACCAGGCTGGCTTCCTAGCTCGGTCTCACAGGCACGCCACTGTAGGTCCCTTTCTTGTCGAAACCAGAGGTTTCTGGCCCCGGTTCCTGGGTTCAAAGGAGGGAGGGGGGGGCGCGCACAGCGGGTGGAGGTGCCTGGTGAGGCCAGGCAGCCGAAGGTCTTTGAGGGGGAGCCCATGAGGGCTCAAAGGAGACTGTTTTCTGTGGGAAGGGGCGGGGGAAATGAAGGAGAGACTACGTTTGGCGTCCCCCGGTCAGCTCGAGGTGAGCCTCCCGCTCTCGGTGGCGTGGTCCAGGCCCCTAGAGAGAGTGGGGAAGCAGAGAAGGCGGGGATACGCCGAACCTTAGGCGCGGAATTGAGGACCAGGGCGTGAAAGGCCTGGTTTCTTGGACCCCCTTCTCCAGCTTGGAACCCGCACCCACGGGTAGGGGGGCGCAGGGGGAGGGGCAAACTCAGGGCCAAGCTGGGAGGGCCGGCCGGCAGGGAGCAAAGCCATCCTTGTCACCGCCCCTCCAGCGGCGGGGCTGTCAGGTTTCCTGTTTGGAGAGGAAAACCCAGCAAAATCCAACACGGCAAAAAGGGGAGGAGGAAAGAGCGGGCCTGGCGAGGCCTTAGCGGCGGCCGGGGCTCCGATGCCCCTAGCCTGACCTGATCCGCACGGCCCTGTCCGGGCCGTGCCCGCCGCTGGCGTCGGGAGGAGAGCCGGGCCGGCTGACTGTGCGCGCCCATTAATCTGCCGGGCGGGCGGGCGGCGGGCGGGCGGGCTGGGGGCTGTTTGTAACTTTGCTGCCTCGGTCGCCGCGGTCCCCGGGGAGCGGGCTCCGGCGCTCGCTCCCATTGGCCGCCGCCGCGTCAGCTGGTGCGATTTGCTGCTGTCGCTTTTGGCGTTCGGCCATCCAGAAACAAACCAGTTCGATGACTACTAATAGTTATAGCCAGATGTACTAATACACAACAAATCACAGTCCTGCAGAGGGGCGCGCAAATGAGTTCCTATTTTGTGAATCCCACTTTCCCCGGGAGCCTGCCCAGCGGCCAGGACTCCTTCTTGGGCCAGCTGCCCCTCTACCCGGCCGGCTATGACGCGCTGAGGCCCTTCCCGGCCTCGTACGGGGCGTCGAGCCTCCCGGACAAGACGTACACCTCACCTTGTTTCTACCAACAGTCCAACTCGGTTCTGGCCTGCAACCGGGCGTCCTACGAGTACGGGGCCTCGTGTTTCTATTCTGATAAGGACCTCAGTGGCGCCTCGCCCTCGGGCAGTGGCAAGCAGAGGGGCCCCGGGGACTACCTGCACTTTTCTCCCGAGCAGCAGTACAAACCCGACAGCAGCAGCGTGCCGGGCAAAGCCCTCCATGACGAAGGCACCGACCGGA